TAACTGTTGTGTTCAGTTCTAGAGGTGTAAAACTGTTGTTCAGTAGTAGGGGTTTAAACGAGCTGATCTCGAGTTCGAGTCCTTATCGATCATGTAATTGATCTCGAGATCGGCTCGTTATCAATATTAACGAGCCAAGTTCATGACTTAACGAGTCGAAGTCGAGCTTTAACAGCCGAACTATAGAAAAATATATAAAAATATTCATCTTTCGGAGCCTTGACAAACTTTATCATGTTGAGCGGAGCTCAGCTCCTCTATTAAACAAGCCGAGTTGAGCCAATCCGAGCTAAGTCGAAATCATTAGCTACTTATTTCATTTAGCAACTCTATTCAGTAGATTGATCAAAGCCAAATTCAAATAATTTTTCACATAATTCCAAATTTGACCGTCTTTGAGATTTACATTTCATTTTATGATGACGACCGGTACAATTGGTGTTTGTCCAATTTTTGTTGTTATTTTTGTTATTGTTTTGCTAGTTTTTTCTCCCGTTATAGGTCTTTTCGTAGGTTTTTTGTCCACTTGATCGTTTCTCCATGTTCTTTTGTTGTTCTTGTCTTTAGAAGTGTGCAGGCTTAGAACTTCGACAATATGGTTAGAAATTCCACCAATCTGAGATGAAAGTGGTCGTCCCAATTGTGCAAGTGCAATTATCTAGAAGGGTTCGTTGGCGACTAGTATGAAGAGATGGAACTCAATTCCGAGTCCGGATGAACATGTACGAGCCCATGGCCTACAGACGCGCAACTGGCCCCCAGCTTTACCGAGTGTCTTCCAGTGGCTTCCGCAGCACGCCCGAGCAGACCCGTGCATCACCGAAGCATGCCCAATCCATCGCGCCGCGACAGTCCCTCGTGTCGCACCAGCGCGCGCGACCTCATAGTGCGCCCAGCACGCGACTGTTCTCACGACCGGACAGAGACCTTGGCGCTCCAAGCATCGCGCAGCGAAGACCATCACGTTGCGACAGTGCGCAAGGCTCGCGGCGTGCCGAGTCTCGCGCAGGCTTCATGACGATAGAATTCAATTTGATAATTTTAAGTTCTCTCTATTCAATAATATTTCCAATATTCCAAATTTTGTACAAATATTATTATAGCAATTGTCATTGGTCCAATCCAAAATAATTTTCATATCCTACTACTATTAATTCAATTTCCCTAAATTATTTGACGACCTAAACAAGAAACTCAATTGAATCCAACACTTTTACTACCCACCACCCCCACCGCCGCTCTTGCCATCCTCATTCCTACACATGTACCACCCACAATACAAATACTACCCAACTATACAATTGCAAACATATAACAAACAAATAATAAATTCGAATAAATCCAAAAACAAAAAGCAAGCAAAGCAATTTTGTTTTTTCAGTTTTTCTTATATGTACATATAGACTACCTATATAAATATACTACTCGTTACTTGAAATTGGGCAGCCCACTCCCGAAAATCAAGAGAGGGAAAAAATAAACAACTCAAACAAAAGCGTCCTTTGTTTTTCTTTTTATAATTGAAAATTGGAAAATCGTGTGAGAAGAATCAAAAGGGGATGGCACGAGAATCAAACGAGGCCCTTTTGAATCAACACAAAGAAAAGCACTTCACAGCTGGCGAAATCGTGCGGGATATTATAATCGGCGTGTCCGATGGCCTCACCGTTCCTTTTGCACTCGCGGCGGGCCTTTCCGGCGCCAACGCCTCCTCTGCCGTCATCCTTACCGCCGGCGTCGCCGAGGTTGCTGCCGGCGCCATCTCCATGGGCCTCGGAGGGTATACATATATTATATATAACCTTTGTCATTTAAGTGTAAAATTAATGTGGTTTATTTATATGACATCACCATATCTGGTAATATGATTTTGAAGATACCTAGCGGCGAAGAGTGAAGCAGATCATTATAAGAGAGAGCTGAAGAGAGAAGAGCAGGAGATTATTGACGTGCCTGATACAGGTTTAATTTATCCCACCCATTACATTTTTTTTACTGCACATGTGTGTGTTTTTAATTTATCATTTTTTAATTGTTCGTAAAATCTGCCTGTTAGGGTTTATGCAAACTCTACCTAATTTAATTTAATTTAATTCACTTGATCTTTGGGGCTTGGAGAGATAATTTTGTTTGAATTGGACCCGACTTAGTTTCAGACGAGCCCAGCCCACTCTCCAGCGGCCTAGCCCAGTGTATGTATATTAATTATTAATACATA